ACTACTACTACTACTACTACTACTGCTACTGCTACTGCTACTACCACTACTACTACGACTACTACTACTACTACTACTACTACTAGTACTACTACTACTACTACTACTACGACGACTACTACTACTATTACTAATGCTACGGCTACGACTACTACTACTACTACTACTGCTACTACTACTGCTGCTACCTACTACTACTACTACTACTACTACTACGAGTACCGCTAGTACTACTAGTAGTACTAGTACTACTACTACTACGACGACGACGACTACTACTAGTACTACTGTTGCTAATCTACTACTCCTACTCCTTGTTCTTGTTCTTCTTCTACTGCTGCTGCTGCTGCTACTAGTACTACTACTACTATTACTACTACTACTACTACTACTACTTCTTCCTTCTGCCACTACCACTACTACTACTACTACTACTACTACTACTACTACTATACTCCTCCTGCTACTGCTACTGCTACTGCTACTGCTACTGCTACTGCTACTACTACTACTACTACTACTGCTACTACTAAGGGTTTCGGCTGGAGCGAGGAAACAGGTTGAAGTGTCGCGCTGTGGTGCCATGAGTGGAACTGTGCTGGCTAGAGTTGGCGGTTATCTCTTTTTGACACTTCTGTTATCACCTTCTTCCATCTGGCTGTGCGGGTCCCAAATCCCGCAACAGAGCATGGAGATTGCTGCATCGGAACGCAATAGCAATCGCTCTGTAGACCCGAAGGTTGAGCTCTACTCCACAAGGAACTCGAGAGCAGCGCTTTCTAGCGTAGCGAAAATTCCTGGGAGAGAAGGAAGTCATACAACGCGGTACTCGGCCATTCGAAAGCGAGCTTATCGCAGAGCACGGCGCAGGGCAGAACAGCATGGAGGCACATATTACAGAGGACGCTGGATGAGTGCGGCAGCTTTGGGCACGAAATGTTCTGCTGACTTGCCGCACAAGGGGAATTATGTCCCGCCGAAGGCTTTTCAGACGAGTGTCAAACGGAATGAGCGCTTGCGTGTGCGATGTTACAACCTGGGCGGGATAAACGGGCCGGTCTACGACCACCTACCCTTCTGGCTCACGACCGAATGTCGGGACGACATCGTGATATTACAAGAGCTTCATTGGGGATGCGGTCATACAGAAGCAACATGGACAGTCCAAGGATGGTCCCCGGTAGTCAGCGTGGACCCGCTGCAGAGCTACGCGGGGGTAGGAGTCCTGATTTCCGGTCGCGTCACTAGTCCGGATAACATCAGTTTTACATCCTGTCTGCCTGGCCGCTTGTTGCATGTTCGGTGCCCCACTGACACCAAAACCCTGGATGTCATTGCTGGCTATCAGTGGTGCGATCCGAGAGCGGGTCAACTGCTACAACGGAGAAGCGGAATCAGTTCAGCCTTGGGGCGCTCCTGCATGGCACCCCCACCAGGAATCTTGTCGTTGTTGGAGCAGACTTTAATACACACTGTCGGCCCCTCCCTGGCTTGATCGGTAGAGGTACTCTTCACACCAACCACCATCCTGATAGTGAATTGGAAGCTCTCCGCACCGAACATCAGCTTGTTCTTTTGAACACCTGGGGTAAGTCTACTAAAGCTGCTTGTCACACTTATCATCTTGATGCGGTTTGTAGCCAGATTGATTTCATAGCCATGCGTAGACCCACGGCTGATCGCATCGCCAGACTTGCCAAACCAGTTTCCTTCGATCTGGCGCCGTGGCGCGAAGGCGCCAAGCATAGAGCTGTGCTGGCGAGCATTCCCTGGCGTGCTGGATGGACATTTCAACCCCGCCGTAACCCTGGTGCTAGATTTTCCCTTTTGCAGCTTAGGCACTCCCTCCGTAGTTGGGATCATCATGCTCAGGAACTCCAAGCCTGGGTACGTCACACTTTAGCGCATGCCTCTCCCGATACTACCCTGAAGCAGCTCAATGAGAGAATGCTCAGCCACTGCGTCTCTTTCCGAGTGTCTCGCAAATGCCGAACAAGCCCAGCACCAAGCCTGAGGTAGTGCGCTGTATCCAGGCCATGAAGCAGGCACAAGCAGATCTTAAGCGGCATGGGAGGCAGAGGGGCATTATAGGGGTGTCATTGCAGCCTGGCGCTTGTACACGGCTTTCCAGCGTCAGAGCAGAGCGTTGCGCAGTGCCAGCAAGGCCGCACGGGGTTTGAGGAACATATCCAGACTGCGGAAGAAGCTGCCAAACGCAACGACATAGGTGCTGTCTACAGGGTGGTTCATAAGCTTGCTCCTAGACGTAGGTATGAACGGGTACGCATCCGTAGCGCTAGTGGTGCCATGCTGGGGCCCAAAGAGGAGTTTCGGGAAATTCTGCAGCATTTCCGTGCGGCCTTTGATGGGCCCGAATTGGCCTGCAAAGTGGACAGTGTGCCGATTGTCTTTGAGGTTGACGAGCTCAGTATAAGGCAATACACGGCCTCAAAGGCGGCAAAGCAGTTCCCCCAACTAGCGTTCCCGCAGAGATCTGGCGACTCTGCCCAGCAGAGTACGCATGCCGACTGGCTCACATCCTCACAATGCATCTTGTGCACAATCGCTCCCGCTGCCACCGAAGGTTGTTGATTGCGCGCTCTCATTACTGCCCAAGCCGCATAAGACTAGCAAGCGCCCAGCAGACCTTAGGCCACTTGGCCTGCAGGGCCCTAGCTCCAAAATCGTGGCGATGGCGGTACGGGAAAGATTGCAGTGCATAGTGCAAGACTTTGTCATGTCCAGGCCGCAGTACGCTTATATCCCAGGAAAATCCATTGATGGGGCCATAGCCAGGGTCATGCGACACGGTGCCTTTGTACGGGATCAAATGAAGACTGCTACTCTAACTGTTCATGATCGTCGTGCTAAGAAAACTGCGGGAGCTTGTTGCGGAGGTGCAATGCTCAGCTTGGACCTCAGTCGCGCATTCGACGAAGTCCCCCGAGATGCCCTGCATGCTGCACTTGAACATGCCAATGTTTCGCCTGAGCTTAGAGATCTAGTCATTACGCTACACATGCAGTGCGTATACAAGGTTTCTCAAAAGGGGCAAACCGGAGTGTTTCCCATGCGGAGAGGTGTCCGGCAAGGATGTGCTTTGAGTCCGCTTCTCTTCACACTATTCCCCAGTCATCACCTGTCACATCTTCGACGTGTTAGCCTCTCGCACCACGTATGCATGGGCTCAGCAAGCTGTCACACTGTTCGCTGATGACTCCCATTTTACATGGGAAGTCCGGGACATCGCAGATTTGAAGTTCCTTGTAAAATGTGTGCGGGCTACCTTTCAGACCTTCCGCGAATTTGGCATGCAGCTGAATATGGATAAGTCACGCATTGTCGTCAAACTGCAAGGAGGGGCTGCCAAACGTTGGTTACAGACCCGCACACAGCGCAGTGCCAAGGGCCCGGTCATGCAGTTAGGCACGCCTCATGCCCCAATTGTCATTCCGCGTGTGCATAGCATGGTGTATCTTGGCATCATCGCATCTTACAGTGGTTTTGAGCAACAAACCTTTGTACTGCGTAGCAAGCGCTTACAGCTGCACCAGCGAGCCCGGCTCTATCTGGCATGCGTCAGGAGCAGTTTGTTGTACGGTTTACATGCTGTGGGTGTCACCAATCATGTTGCAAGGAGGATTGAACAATTTGACTCAAGAGCTTTGCGCTCACTGGCCCGATCCCCGGCCTTTCTTTCGCACGAAAGCACAGCAAGTCTGCGACAAAGATTGGGTCCTTGGACAGACACTCGAGCGACGAAGTGCCGCGATCCGCAGGAATTGCAGTGGTTTCGTGCTAAGCAACTGGAGCTGTTTGCTATACTGCAACAGCAGCCAACTGGCACAAGCCTACAGCCCACCGTAGTGTACGAAGGGGTAGCATGTCCCGATCTATTTTCCTAGTGTCCGAATCATGCGATCGCATCGTGCTAGAAGTCACTTGCAGAGTGTGAATAAGGCGCAGGCTGGTGTTATGTCTGCGGCTTCCTACGTTGCAGGAGGTGTGGATGGAATGCCCGCGTGTCGCTGGTGCTTGCGTACCTTCACTAGAGTTGAAGACCTCAAAAAGCATCTCAAGCGTGGTTGTGTTAAGCATTCTGAGCAGCCTGATGTTGTCAAGACGCATGGGACGATGGGGGTGGTCGCCGAACACCCGGGTCAGGTCCCTGGGGTTCGTGAGGAGTTGCTGGGGCATTCGTGCCGGACTCCTCAGACCACCTCGGAAGAAGTCACGAAGGAAGCTGCATCAGCCTCTCTCCCAGCTGAGACAAGGGTGAATGCCTTGTTGCAAGATCCAAATTTTCAAGCAGTGTCGCGACAACATTGGAAGCGGCCTCTTGAAAACGAAGCATATAGAGCCCAGCTTAAGGAGTACTGTGTCATATGCGGGCAGTGGTGCGCCAGAGCGAAGCAGCATCACAGCGCCGCATGCACCCTGAAGTGTGGCAATTGCACGATGCTGCTGTCTCTCAATGCTGTAGCGCGGGCTTGCGTGCCTTACGCCATTGCAGCTTCTGTGAGGCCGGCATCTGCGCCATTGCGCAGTCCTGTACCAAGCCTCCCTTGCATCTCTGCTTCTGTGTCAGGACCGAGATGGATCATGCCCAGGAGGACCTGGAGGCGGCCCGAGCCAAGACGGCCCGAGAAGAGCTCCGGATGGTGATGGGCGGAGGAGGAGGAGGCACTTCTTCGGACCAGCAGATGCGGGACACAGCGGAGGAGAAGGAGATGGCAGAGGACGAGTGTCGTCCCAAATGGGCCAAGCCGGCATCGAAGCATGGAAAGGGCCCCTCGCAAGGTGGCTGGCACCAGGGAGGCTGGGGCGTGGGACCAGCCTCAGCAGGAGCATCAGGATGCTCAGCTGCCTCAGCTCGACCAGGCGACGCAAGACGCAAGACTTGATGAGTCACATGGTTCGAACCATGTTGCGCCACGAAGCAGAGATCCAACGTCTCAAACAGGATCTCAGCTACATGGTATTCATCAATACTTCGGGCCTCGGGTGCTTACCGGTGCTTCGCAGGGTAGCCGAGAACTGGCAAGAACAATACACGAAGGGCACCGTAACCAGCCCATTGCGCCTGGTGATGTTCTTGGCGATGCTGGAGACCTTGAAGACCACGGTGGAGGAAACGATGGCGGACGAGGAAAAACTCCAGCGTTGCATGAACGTGGGATGGACTGTGGCGGGCGAAAACGCCTTAAGCCCAAAGTGGGTGTACCACTCCTGGGATCCCGCAGCGAAGAGGCAAATCGTTGCGGAGGACCAGCCACTGTCGCATGCGGATGCACTACGATTGGTGGACCAGCTGATGACGCACGCCCCCAGGGAAGGTGTCATGAAGAACTTCAAGACCTCACAACGCGCATGACGGCGCAGGACCAGTACAAGGCGGAGGTCCTCCCGTTTATGGTGTCAATCGGCCCGAGAGGGGAGTCGAGTGCGATCTGCTTCAATGCATTGCGCATTCTGAGCGGCTCGGCCATCATGAAATTGATTGGCGTGAGGGTTCGCCCCGAAAGGGGACAGGAGCCGCAGCTGATCAAGCAGCTGAAGCAGTCCTACATGGGCACCACGTTCTGCGAGTGGTCGAGGAAGTCGACACCGTGGAGCAACGATGCCTAGGTCGGCACGCTGCTGCTGCTGCACGCGAGGTGGTGCAGCTTTCCACTAGTGCCAACCTTACACTTCCGCAGGTGAAGCTGCGCAATCGCACGAATCTGTGCTACTGCAATGCCGTCTTTCAGTGTCTGTATTGGCTGGGTGAGGCGTCTACATGCAATGGCACAGACCTGCTATGGCAGTCTGCAGGCCGGACTCCGGATACTTAAAGCAGCAGGTGAGCTCACACTTCCGGATTGCATGGTGTTACGAGCACTCTTCAGAGGTGGCCTAACTTGCACCGCCAACATGATGCAGGCGAATTCCTGCAAAGATTCCTTGCTGTTGCCCAGCCCGGCGCTTGTGCGGGCGGCTGGGAAGCACGCCTAACGAATCCCAGCAGAGTGCATGACTCAGGTGACCTTGGCATCCCACTGCTACTCCACCTACCAGGTGAGAAGTTGCAAACGCTTGTCGATTCGTGGCACAATCAGTTTGCCACGCATGCGCTTACCTATCATGGGGGTGGCCTCTTCCTGCAAATATGTCGCTTTTGCGATAGTGCCCAGAAAAACATGCAGTGCCTACCGTTGCGGCCAGGTGACGTTGTGGCCATGCCTGTTTTCACTGAAGTTGGCAGCGCCTGCACGAGATTAGAGCAGTTTCGGGTTGTAGCAGCAGTTTTCCACCTAGGCCCGCGCACTACTAGTGGACATTACCAAGCTCTGCTAGGCAAACCCGAAGCAGGCCAGTGCGTCTCATACATATGTGATGATAATCGCAAGCCTCGGCGAGCCCAAAGTAGGGACCTTGATGTTGTGGATCATAACGCCTACTTGGTGGGGCTGCTGCGATGTCCTCAGCATTGGCCTCGGGGTAACAGGGGACCCTGTTGCCATGAACCCTGTTGCGCTGCAACGGAGCTCGAGACTACTTGCTGCCTCAGCCGCGCCAAAAACCCGTGCATGAATCTGCCTAGTACCAGTATTTCACAACTCGGCGCCTTTCCTGTGTATTTCAAGCTCTCCGTCGACAATGTGGTCGAATCTTACTGATTGCCAGCACTGCTCGACGGTCTAGGTCGGCCGCGCGCTTTGTCGTGTCTAGGTGGCACGGCATTCTGTGCTCGGGCCTCAGCTGTGTGCCTGACGCTCATACTCTGCTGAGCAGTCTGCTATGCTGTGCCTCCTCCCCCCCCCCCCCCCCTCCACACTCTTCACTCACGCAGCGCTTGGCCCGAATTTTGGCCGGTGACCTAGGTCGGTCTTCGGTTCCTAGGCTAGGGGTCTAGGAGGGTCTCATGTCCGTTGTCACACTGGAGCTCCCAAGTCATCTACACTATGCGGCTCTGGAAGAAATGCTGCTTCTGCATTGGTGAGTCTTTCTGGAACTGATTGTCTGCCGGCGCCTTGTCTGTCCATGTGCACCAGGAATGAGCTGGTGCGGCACAACGCATGCTTACGGGACAACAAAGAGAGCAGTTCCTGGATTATGCCAATCAGCTAGCGCATGCAGGCCATCACTGCCGAGACTGTTGCTGCTCTGCCACCCCCGACACATGAGAATCGCGATACGTCGAGCCGAGCAGAGCGCCTAGCACGGGATTTTCTTCTGGAAGGGCGAGCCTCATTGTGGTCAGCAGTGAGAGAAGTAGTCCGGGATCTAGGCTATGCTGCAGACACCAGGACTATCTCCTCCGGGTATATCTTCAGACTCGGACTGTACAACAAGGGAGGGCTTGTTGGACTCACCAGCGAAACAAGAGGGCATCCATGCGCTTGTCGCCTAATCAACCTACTGGTTACTGGTTGTCGCGACGCTGGGTACGCACAGATGGACGAGCGTGTCCATCAACATGAATTGTGGCACAGAAGTGCACAAAGACCAAGGGAACGCCAGTGAATCCACGCTGCAAAGCCTGCACATCGGGCTCTCGCGTCATCAGGAAGGCCAACTGTGGGTTGAGAGTTCAGCTGGCAGAATGTACATGGAGCACTTCAAAGAAGGTTTTCTACGCGGAAACGTCTACCCGACCAGTGCCATGGCCAATCAATCTCTTCCATGGGCAACAGTGTTTCCATGCCACAATGCCGCGGTCTGGAGGAGATCGAGTGGTGCTTTTGGCATATGTTGCCAGATAGCACCTTAGTGCCGTCGATAGGTATACGGCGCGGAACTCGAAGCCCTCGGATTTGTGCTACTGAGAGCGCAGTGAGACATGAGTCCCCAGTGAACGGCGCAGGACGTAGCCGGAGACTCCAGGGGATGTCCCTCTGCACACGCAGCTTCTGCCCATCTGTATGTAAGCTCGCTTGACAATCTGATCTAAGCATTGTGCTGCCTGGCGCTGGAGCAGAGCAGCTAGAGCAGTGTGCAGAGGACATGAGTGCCTAACGCCCTCGGCTGTTCATGCATAGTGGCGGGGCTACGCCACCGGGCATCCGTTGTGCCTTTGCGCTTAAAACTTGGTTGCATGTCTGCCGAAGCTGCTTAGCGCATGGCATCATCAGCGCACTCTGTTGGCCACTACACTCTGCTCTCTTCTTCCTGCCTCTCTCTTCCTCCATAGCATGGCTTCAGCTGCGAATTCGCCGGTGGCCAGCTCTGTGGCCGAGGACATCCCAGCTGCGGCGCAGGAGTCTGCTTCCGCGAGGCAAGGGGTCAACTTTTGGAGCAATCGTCGAGGCTCAGCTACCAATGCGTGGAGTGCTCATGGCTCAGCATCATCGACGGCCGACGCTCCAAATTTGGCGACAGCTTCTGCACCTACTCGACGATGCCGCAGGCATCGACGTTTCAGCTCTCATGCCCCACAGCAAGGAGAAGATGGTCTGTTCGCATGTACCACCCCGGGCTGCACCAGACGCTATAAATTTGGTCAGCATCGTCATTGCTGTGGATGGTGCAGCATTGGAGCGCACACCGAGGGGTGTGACCATGCATGGCCGAAGGTGCAGATGCGAGCTTTGCGCACAGAGGTCAGCGTTTGCACTACCATTGGTTGCAGACGCGCTGCCGGGCGCGATCATCTGCACTGTTGTACGCTATGTGTCTGGCATAAGGGACGCCAACACGCCACTCACTGTCAGGAAAGACAGACTATGGTGTGGATGCATAAATAATGGCGAACTCGATCCGCATGTCGCGCGAGAACTTGCAGCCGACCAGGCTTCCGGTTTGGCGAGCGCCATGGATACTGGCTCGGCGGAAAGTGCCACATTGGTCGCCACAGTGGAAGCTGTTACGGGGACTGGCAGCACTATGATGAGCCCTAGTCACAATTTGACCCGAGCAAGCCCAAGCACCGACTGCTCATTCATCATAGAGGTCTCTTCTGAGGAGGACGGAGCCGAGGAAGACCTCGTTTTGATTCCACCCTGTAGCGGAGCGACTGCTGCTGGCTATGGAAGTATATCTGAGCAGGCGATCACAACATCGGCAGGTGCTGGCGATAGCTCCAACTACAGCTTGAACACCATGGATTAGAGTGTCAGAGCTTTTTTATTAGAAGTATGGCTTCAGAGGAATTGCCAGAAGAGCAATGCCGCCAAGGAGTGGCCGAGTGCCATAGGCGCTTGTCCTATCGTCGAGCACTTGCACCGATGCGATGTTCGCAATGCAGTACTACTACTACTACTACTAC